AAACGAGTTTGAAGTAAGTTTTAGTATATGAGGATGAACTGATGCTCAACCCCGCAATTTCGAATCAATAAGTGGTGCCTTTTCAAAGTCATGAATCATAGAAATGCAAAGAAATAGAAACATCATAAACCTCTGAAGTACATACACAATGCCATTTGCAGTTGCGCGACGTCTTTGTGCTGAATGTTCGCCTTCTGCATCCTCGATGTCCTCAAAAACTCGACGCATATTTGCACGTTCTAGTTCTTCAATTACATCCTGAAAAAGCATTACTTAATCATCAATAACTCACAACAAAGGTGAAAACTAAATTACCTGGTCGAAAGCTTGTTCCTGAATTACTTCGTCGATAAGACGCTGCCGAGCCAAGCGTGATTGCCTTTCACTGAAGGTTATTCTGACGTTGCAGCAATTAGGGTCAAACGTGCTGATTTGAAATTTCAAGGGCACTCTAGCACTTAAACCCATTTCGCCTCTGTCAGTAAAGAGTCTAAGTTTTTGAGCAGTTTAATAATCCATAAAACCCTAGACATGTTCAATGTTCGCTACTTGTAAATGGGCATTATGAAGCGCAGAGCACATCAACCAAGTCATCATATTCAATATTGATTGAGAATGCAATAACTTCGTCACAAACAATGAGCGCAGAACTGAAATCCAGGAAGATCCTGTGTAGCTCAAAAAAGAAACAGAGTGAAGGAAATTGCCGCAAGCAAAATGCACGAAAAAATTGTTCTAATTTGATTGTTTGTTCTAAATTGTTGTTTGATTGTTAAAAAAAATCTGACTGTTTGTTCTAAATTGTTGTTTAATTCTTTGAAAATTTGATTGTTTGTTCTAATTTATCTAAATTTGATGCCCCAAGTACGTTAGAAGGGAAAATAGGCGTAGCTCGAGCACCAACCGCAACGGTAAAAAATCTCAAAGCACTCCGCCCTACGTTTGGTTTGATTTTTTCCAACAGCAACATACCATAAAAATAATAATGCGCAAACGCCTATTCCAGTAGTAAACAGAAGCCTAATCACGTTGCGTCCCCATTTTGTAAATGCTAATGAGATGTAAAAGGTACCTGGTTCCAAGATCGACAACTATTGGGTAGCCATCATCGTCCATTCGATCTGATTCAGCATGATATCCAGGTTGTCCAAGATCGGGAGCTTGAGCCGTGCCTGCATCAAAACAAAATACCATAAAGATTGGAGATAGAAAGGCGGGCACTGTGATCAAAAAGAATAAATGAAACAAAAATGAATGATATTAGTTGTAAAAAATGCTTAAACAACGCCTCATTGCGAAGCCAACGAAATCTGAGAATACAAAAACAGTGAAACAACGTTGAATGTCACAAATTCTTGCAACGCACACGAAACAGCATATGATGGAAAAAGGGGGGAGGG